TGGAGACACTCTGGGCTTTTCCCAGTTCAGATCCTGAAGAGATTCATGTTGACTCAAAAGCCAACTTTCTTTGGCAGATCCCTTACTGGATTCAGCCTTTGTCCTTGCCAGTACCCCCTGGCCCACACTGATGATATCACTCTGAGTCACACACAGGCTTCACATACATGGCTCAGACACAACAATGATGCTGCTGATGACAACACCACTGTTAATAATCTGTTTACATGGTGATATGAAGCATTACCTGGCTCTGTGTGTTAACAATTAAAACTTGTTTGGTTTTTCTTAAGCATAGACCATCTAGGATTAGACTATGCATGCTGTTGCTTTCTCTCTTATCTCTATCTTTGTCGTGCATCCTTGGCCAACATATAGGACAAATCTTTTTGGACATCTTATAGCCTTTGATTGACCTCTTCTGACTAAATTAACATGTCTAGGACAAACACAGGTTATGTTTGACACCATTTCTCCTTGAGGCATGAAGATGTACCCCGATGATGAAAGATAAATATAAACTAACCTTCACACGCCTTCTCTTGAAGATGTACTAAATTGTTGTGGAGTTTCTGTTTAATTGTGCCTGATAATTATATTGCTAAACTGCTTGGTGAGAAGTTTCAAAAGAAGAACTGTGCTCTACAGACTTTGTGTCAACTTTTTTTGTATTTCCATGTATGTTTGAACTAAGAACAGCACTGGTATTTTCCAAAACTCCATACCAGTATTCACTGGCATGGAGTTACACAGTGACTATTATAGTGTTTGCAAGGTTTTAATGCAAATTATTGCACTTAAGAAATGCAAACACCCTGGCCAACATGATGAAACCCTGTCTCTACTAAAAATACAAAAATTGGCTGGGTGTGGTGACGCATGCCTATAATCTCAGCTACTCGGGAGGCTGAGGCAGAAGAGTCGCTTGAACCGAGGAGGTGGAAGTTGCAGTGAGCTGAGATCACTCCACTGCACTCCAGTCTGGGCAACAGAGTGAAACTCCATAAAAAAAGAAGGAAGGAAGGAAGGAAGGAAGGAAGGAAGGAAGGAAGGAAGGAAGGAAGGAAGGAAGGAAGGAAAAGGGGAAGGGGAAGGAAAAGGGGAAGGGGAAGAGAAAGGAGAAGGGAAGGGAAGGGAAGGGAAGGGAGGAGAGGGGATGGGAGGGGAAGGGAGGGGAGGGGAGGGAAATCTTAGGCCAATGTTTTAATACAGACATCAACTGAAAGCTTGATAGAAAAATGAAGTACTCTGATAGTACTCTGATGGATTCTATAGTAAATCTCAAGTCCTGGGCCACTGGTCATGATGATGAAGCTAAGAGGTTAGTTAGCTGAGTTGTTCAGAGTCAGGAGCTAACACAGGGTGAGTCAGGCTCCATTCCTTTGAGAGTCAACTGGTTCTGTGTAGTCAAATCCCTGTTAGTTGGCTTCATGGTCCTTTCTACTGAGCAGAGCTAAATACTAATCTACCAGGTGTAATTTCAAACCGATTAATAATGTCTACAGTTGTTAAACGAATAAACTTCAGCATACACATATTATTTAGAACTACAGAATTTCAAAAGCAGAAGAAACTATTCAAAGACTTGAAAATGGCAATGTGACTAAGGAATGAAAAACTGGTGTTTTTCTTTATTTACCATTTTAAATGTTTTCATCTGTGTACATATATAGCTCTAATAAAAATATGAATTATAAAAAATAAATAATATGTTAAACACACACATATGCTTGGTTGGTATTGCTAATGGAAGGGAATAAATGGGACAATGTAAAGCATTTAGTATAATATAACAATTCCTCAGCATAATTAGAGGAGAGAAAACATTCATTCTTTCATGCATTCAGTAAACAATTAAGAAGTAATTACTATGTACCATGTATAGGCTAGATGCTGTGATAATATGCAGATGAGTTTGTCATAGTTTCTCTGCTCAAAGAGCTCATAATTGAGTAGGAAGACAAAGAAAGATAAATAGCAAACTACAATATAAGAAATTCAAGTTTTATAATGAAAAATTGCAAATAAGTACAGAGAATAGAGAAATGACCTATTGATATTCACAGGAAAAACTGACACAAACTTCACAGACAAAATAAGCATTTGAATTCAGCCTTTAGTAATTATAGCAATGATATCTAATACATCATCATGTTTCCTATGTGACAGGAACTAGAGAGTTTAGAGGAGAGGAAGGGGAAGCACTTCAAATTGGGAGAATACCATGAGAAAAGTCAAGGATGTATCCAAGCTCCTAATACTGTGTGTCTGGAGGGTTGGGAAAAGATAAGGCAAAAATTTTAGAAAGGGAGCCAATGGAAGAAGGTTTACAATGCCACACAATGACACTTATTTTTTTATTCTTAATGTCTTGGGGAAAGAAAAATGAGACTTGGCAAGGTTAACTCCAGTAACCCTTTGAAGGAAGGATTAGAGAGTTAGAACCTAGAGGTATCAGTGAGAAAGCTGCTTCACTAGCAACAGGGAGCACGAGGACATGAACCAGGACATTGGCAGTGGGAACGGAAGAAAAGGAATACATTAATTGGCAGTGTGTGGCAGTGGAAAAATCAATTAAACGGAGCAGCCAATTAAATGTAGGAGGCAAAAATAACCAGGGATCAAATATGGGAGGTTTTCGGTTTGGACAGTTGAATTAATAGTAGTGTCAGTAACTGGGACAGAAAATGTAGGAAGAGAAATAGGATCATGGAGAAACTGTAATTAATTCCATTCTGGACATCTGGGCTTCAAATACTACCAAAACAAGCAGTGTGAAGGCTGCCATTGACAAGTGGCAAATATCCTTGATGACATACAACAAAAACTTGAATCATAGACATTTATTAAACTCCTAGTATGTGCAAAGGATTGGAAAAGGTCCTGCGGGGTGGGCAAAGCACCTTAGGGTATAATTCCTGACCATAGGGGCTTAATAATGTAGGTAAGAGTATAACATGAATGTATGAAAATGTGACTAAGAATGGTTCAGAGAAAATGTTGTGGGAGAGATGGGAAAGAACCTAGGCCTTGAAAGACAGATGGGGTGGAGCAAAGAAGGGAAGGGAAAGAAGTTCTCAGTGAAAGGCTTAGAGGGGTTGCTAAGAAGTGTGCTTTAGTGAGACCAGAAATAGCTGGACTGGGGTTAACATGCGAAAAAAGGAGAGAAAATAAATATGGGCTGAAAAATTGATGTTAACTTTTGAGCCTTTTTAAGTTAATATGCAATAGATGTACATATTTATGTACATATTTGGGGGCACACGTAATATGTTGATGCATTCATTTAATACACAAGTATTAAATCAGGATAATCAGGGTACACTCACGTCAAATATTTTTTCATTGCACTAGAAGCATTCAAAATATTTTCTTCTAGCTATTTTGACATGTACAATAGATTATTTTTAACTGTAGTCATCATAATGATCTATCAAATAGTAGGTCTTATTTCTTCTATCTAACTGTATATACGTACCCATTGATCAACCTCAGCTTTTGAACAATTTTATTTTTATCTTTGTTGTATTTTAGAGACAGGTTTCTCTCTGTTGCCCATGCTGGAGCACAGTGGCATGTTTATAACTCACTACAGCCTCAAACTCTAAAGCTCAAGCCGTCCTCCCACCTCAGCCTTCCACATAGCTGGCATCACAGGAATACATCACCATGCCCAGCCAATTTTTTTTTTTTTTTTTTGGAAATGGGATCTCAGTATGTTGCCTAGGCTGGTTTCAAGGTCCTGGGCTCAAGTGATCCTCCTGCCTGGGCCTCACAAAGTGCTGGGTTTATAGGTGTGAGCCACTGAGCCTGGCCTCTTTGAGCATTTTTTAATGTCAAGCACAGTTGTCTGAATTGGACTGAGGCAACAGATAAGAACCTTTGGAAATATCCTAACCAGTGAATAAAATGAACACAGTATGGAGGGCCTGCTCTTCTGAAATATACTCAAATTGCTTAGTCTTCTCTCCATTCATTAAACATTAAACAAATGTTTACTTAGTAACTACTAAGAACCAGGTGCTATAAATGAATATGAAATTGGATAAGAACTGAACCCCTCTTTCAGCATTTGGACAAGACATAATGTGGTGTCACGGCAACAGAGATGGGTTTGGAATAAGAGAATTTGTCATCACATTCCAGCTTTGTCACTGAACAACTGCATGATGTTGGACAGGTCACCCATTTGTGCTCAGTGTTTTTCCTGTTATTTTATTTATTTGTTTGTTTTTATGTTAGGCAGTCTTCTTAACTGTTTTCTATTCTCTTTGTCTTTTCTCTTCTCTCTCTCCTGCTTACATATCATGAAGTTAAAGTTTTTATTATTGTTTTACCAAAGTTAGATCATACTGACAGATTCTGTATGTCTTGCTATTCTCCATGGGAAAATAATTGTTGAAAATTTTCCTAGTGTACAACTAATTCATAGTGTTTGCTACTGATATTGAATAGATACATTCAACAATTCTGTTTTTCCTTTATCTGTTTTCGCCTTTATAACAAAGCTAGAATAAACACCCTTGTCCATATTTATTTATTTCCTAGTTCTTTCTGTGAAGAAAATCCTTAGAATAAGAAATGCTGGATATACTAATTCTTATTTTTATAACTATTTTTTTTTTTTTTTTGAGACAGAGTCTTGCTCTGTCGTCCAGACTGGAGTTATTTATTTATTTCCTAGTTCTTTCTGTGAAGGAAATCCTCAGAATAAGAAATGCTGGATATACTAATTCTTATTTTTATAACTTTTTTTTTTTTTTTTTGAGACAGTCTCGCTCTGTCATCCAGACTGGAGTGCAGTGGCAGAATCTCGACTCACTGCAACCTCCGCCTCCCAGGTTCAAGTGATTCTCCTGCCTCAGCCTCCCGAGTAGCTGAGATTACTGGCACCTGTCATCATGCCCAGCTAATTTTTGTATTTTTGTAAAGACAGGGTTTCACCATGTTAACCAGGCTGGTCTCAAACTCCTGACCTCGTGATCCTCCTGCCTCGGCCTCCCAAAGTGCTGGGATTATGGGCATGAGCCACCGCACCCAGCCTTTTATAACATTTAAAAATGCATTAGGTTTTGTCAATTTGCTTTCCAAAAGGCCTGAAGCAATCTATAGGCCTATACGACAGCAGTGGTTCTCAAAGTTTTGTGTATTTTGGAATCATCTGGAAAGTTTGTTAAAACACAGTTTCCTGAATTTCACCTCTGGAGATTTTTTGTGTGAATACCTGTCTTCAGTGATAATGTTACTTTATTATTGACAGTGCACAGGATATAAAGTAATATCTTATTGTACTTGCATTGACTAAGTGTGAAAAATTTCAAGCATTTGTTGGTCATTTGGATTCATTTTTCTGTATGTTGTTTCTCACACCCTTTGTCTATTTGTTTTCTGTTAAATTTCTTTTTCCTGAAATTATCTTTGGCAGAGCATCAGCCATTTCCCTGGTCTCTTCATGTGCTCAAACATTTGAAGGGGCTTAATTGTCTCTCTTTCTTCCTGCTAATGCAAGTGATGATGAAAATGTAGATGCATAATGGACATGCTTCATTTCAAACTGGAAATTTGACCTTCTTAATTAAACATTGTAGCTGAAGTATCTTTCCCCATGTGTCTTGTCTTAGTGTTTCACTAAACAAACAAAGAAACAAAGAAACAAAAACATTAATCCAAGATCTATATGTAGATCTTCCATCTCAGATGTAAAATAAAGTAATGCAATAAGTCATTTTCCTACTGATTACATGCAGTTGAAATATTTAAGACAGGAAAACACCTATTATTGGTTCTCAAGTCATTCTGGGAAATGGGGCTCGCAATTTGAAGAGTGACTACTGTTGATTATGGTGGCCTGAAAGCACTTTGAAAGGAGGAACATTTTCTCATGTGTATTTCCAGTCATTAAAGTATCTAGAGCAGAATTCTGGACTTAGTGCATGCTCAACTAAGGGATACATGCAGCATTATAAATCTATGTCTATAGCTTTAAGGGTTACAGAGGTTAGAGAAGTTAGAGGTCTGTAACATAGAGGTTACAACAGAACCTATAGTATGCCAAGTCTATGTTTTATAAAATGGGGTTTATTATATTTGTATTTTATAATTTGACAGCCTTTCCTTCATACCACACTGTTCATGAAAGGTGGTTAGTCAGCTCTCCAGACTAAAAGAAATTTCCCCCAAATGATCATTTCAAACTAAGGGTATTCTGGGAAAAAGTCAATGCAGGGAGTCTGGAAACTGAACTCTAAACCTCAAAAAAAGGGATTCAGATTACGTTCGTCTTCAGGGACATACAGGGACAGAGTTGAAGGCTTACATTGGCTCAGTGAGGATTCCCATCTCCAGTGCTGACCATCACTAAGCAGCGGATCCATATTATGACAAGGGCATAACCCAAGTTCAGAAGCTGCCAATAGTTTGTGGCACAAATGTCTGGTCACTAAGGGCAGAAATCCCCAAACATCTGGGGACTTGTGGTTTAATGGGATATGTACTTGTCAGTACTGTTCTAAAATGATTCTATTTTAAAGCAACTTGCTGAGCACTATGAATATGCTCCTGGTATAGAAAAGAGTGTCCATTTTGCTTGTTTTGCTTGTGATTTTCCTTGTTTTTAGACCGGGAATAAATTGAAGGCCATGTAATCCACAGTTTGCAAGATGAAATGCTTGCAAACAGGTTGCAGCGATTGTAAAAATAGCCAAAATACTTTGCAGCTTTTCTCTTCAAGAGACGGAGTCTTTTCCTCCACTGCTTGAATCTGAGTTTATCCCTGTCACTTGCTTTGAATAATAGAATACAACAGAAATGACGCTGGATCAGTGCCAAGCCTAGGACCCAAAGGCCTTGCAACTTGTGTTCCTGTGCCCTTGCAACCCAGAAGCAGCCATGTGAAGTTCAAGTTAGCTTGCTGAATGATTTGGCTCAGAAATATCTACTGTCCCAGGGGGACAGGCAATCAATACCCACAAGCAGAGCCATCTTACTAAATGGCAGTTGATCCAAGATGAGTAAATGAGACCAGGCAAGACCAACAGAATTGCCTAACTAAACCCATCAAATTACTAACCCTAGAATGTTGAGCTAAGTAAATAGCTGTGCTGTAGCCATTAAGCCTAGCTTAATCCGTATAAATGTAAGACACTATGTTTTGCAGTTATGTGTTACATGGAAAAAGCCAACATACACAAGTGCATGCATACATTCATATAAACAAGGCAATAAGGAGTGGTGAGGGCTGTGGCAAACTGAAAAACACATGCCTATTTAAAATAATTTAAATATAGTTTTTGTTTGTTTTGAGAAGGAGTCTTGCTCTGTTGCTCAGGCTGGGGTGCAGTGGCGTGATCTCAGCTCACTGCAACCTCCACCTCTTGGGTTCAAGCGATTTTCCTGCCTCAGCCCCCAGAGTAGCTGTGACTACAGGCACACACCACCATACCTGGCTAATTTTCGTATTTTTAGTAGGGATGGGGTTTCACCATATTGGTCAGGTTGGTCTCAAACTCCTGACCTCAGGTGATCCACCCGCCTCGGCTTCCCAAAGTGTTGGAATTCCAGGCATGAGCCACCATGCCCAGCCTTAAATATAGATTTTAAAGAAACTCAACTTGCATAAGAAACACATCTGGAAGCTGCCTGCCAGCCAAGAGTGCTTGTCTTCTGACCTAGTCAATTCCCTCAACCTTACGAACGAGGAAATTGGTCCAGAAAGTGACTTACATTGCCATGGCTAGCTCATGCCAGAGCAAAAGGAGAATGAAGGTCTGCTGATATCCTGCACAGGCCCTTTTTCCTCAGCAAGGGGCTGGCTGTTCTGTCTGAAACAAGCGTAGCCTGAAGATAAGAAAAGGACAACATGAAACTAAAATCGTTCAACTTTTCATTAGCAGGGGGTCTCAAATTTATTTTAGGAAAATTGTTTCAGAATGAGGGAAAGAATCCTGTGATTTAATTTTGAGGAAAAAGAATTCTTAGAAATGTTTTATAAACTTAAAACATTCTGTCCACTGAACATATTACCTTTGCTCATTAATTATTATTATTATTATTTTTTATGTTCTGGAACCCAGAGAGAGTAACATAGTTCTTGAAGTCTTAAAATGAATGGAAAATGATCCTGTTATGTAACTCTTTGATAAACTAACTCCTGTCCAGTTACATAAAAGAATAACAAAACCCATATTATATATCCTCTGAACACATAATGCCACCTTTTGTAATTGTACAAATTACTACCTTTAAAATAAGTTTCACCACTGGTGATATAAGTCATATCATAAAGGATAAACAGATGTTTTGACAGGTATCAGCCATTTGGCTACAAAAGAAAGACAAGTTGTAGAGTCAATTTTCCTTCAATTCTGTTTCTTTGAAGTGGACAGAAACCCAACGATGTCTCACACCACACCACGTGTTTATTTGACATATTTTCCATGGAGGTTGACTCTTTTACCCATGCTACAAGCTACTCTTGCACTGAGCCACTAAATAGGGGTTGGCAAATGGAGGGGTTTAATTTAAACTGTCTCTTTTCTCATCTGGGTTTTGCCCATCCTAACAAGGTGATGTTGATTTGTTCAATATATCCCAAGACTAAAATAAATTTAAATAAATTTAAATAAAAAGAAACAACGTGGTGTTGGCATCCTTCTGTGTGGTTAACATCTGTGTATTGTGAAGATATTTAGAAATGCCTTTTGGAATATGGATGCAAGCAAGCACACCTAAGTATATGCCAGAGACATGGGAAGCACTGTGAAGGAGAATGGGGTGGCAGGCATGAAGCAGAGAACAAGAGCACAACCCAATTCCCATTACTTAATAGAACACATTGTGAGGCCAGAGCCTCGTGGGAGCCAATCACCAGCTGACAAAATTAGATTCTGAATCATGCTTTGTAATTCTTTCTAATGCCAGCCAGGGATGAGAGCCTGCTCTGGGAACTAGTCCCTCCCAGAACCTACCCCCCACCCAGTGTTCCTTATCAGCCCCCAGCCAGCTGTCAGCTTGTAAGGTTGCTGGACAGAGCATTTAATTCTGAAGGTTATGCATTAATATTCAAATTCTTTCTTATCCATAGACTGTGACTTAAGCATGAACTTTTTTTTTCCATCTCCACCCTCTTTCCTGCATGAATTTCCTTCCATAGATTTTACCCCGAAAGCTTTGAATTGAATGGCCATAGAAAGGAGAGCCATTTACAAAATGTGTCCTGAGCCAGTTCTTCTGCAACATAGGCATATCCCCAGAGCAATGCTCTTTATTTTCCAATTACAAAAACAAATCTTATTAAATATTATTTAAAATGCATCTCCACCCCTAAATCCTCTTTTCCCCTCCAGCTGATGTCTGAAGTTGTTGGCAAGTAAATTGGAATTAGTTACGGTGGAAAATAAAGCTATCAGAATGTAGCCAGATATCTCATATTGCTTAGGATGGCCCTGGGTTTCACACGGATGCCTTGGAGAATACGAAGATTAGGACATTTACTAGGCAAAACTTAAGTGATCTCAACAACAAAAATATACCTGCATGTTTATTAGGAACCATACAACTAAAAGATATGCATTATGAGAGATCTAAAAGCAATCCGTGCTATTTCATGTCAGAATGCATTTTGACCTCAACTATCAGACTAATTTAAAGAAAACTTGATGGGGTTTTGGTTTCGTGTTAGTTAATGCTAGTGTTCATTATCTGTGCAAAGCACCATGATGTTTAACTCACTTTCCATTCGTGGGATAACTCACAGTCCAATGTAGGGAAGTCCTGTTCACTCAATTGAGTTAACAGTTATCAGTGGCAATCTGCACCCAAGGACCTTTAAAGGATACAGAGATACGAGGATGATGCATGATGCCTGCTCTCATAGATTTTTTATTATAAGAAGGCAGGTAGATCTTTTGCGAGTTTCCATCTAGACTCTCCACTAGCTTTAGGGCTTTGAATAACTTATTTAAACGTTCTAGCCAGGAGGATCACTTGAGGCCAGGAGTTCAAGACCGATGTCAGCAACATAGTGAGACCTCCTTTTCTACAAAAATTAAAATTAGCCAGGTGTAGTGTTGCACTTGTAGTCCTAGTTACTCAGGAGGCTGAGGCAGGAGGATCCCTTCAACTCAGGAGTCTGAGGCTACAGTGAGTGTGATCGTGCTTCTGCTCTCCAGCCTCGATAACAGAGCAAGACCCTGTCTCTATAAATAAATAAATAAATAAATAAATAAATAAATAAATAAAGCTCTGAACTTTAGTTTCCTCATGTATAAAGCAATAACCTCAATGTTTTTTCTTAGGCTTAAAGAAACCAAAACATAGACATTAGCCTTCACACACTGCTCAAAACACAGTAAGCCAAAAATAAGTATTATACGATTATTAGCTATTCTGATAGAAAAGGTAAACTTACTTTTCAAAAAACTAACAATTTTAGATAAGATGCTGGAGCTTAGAGCCAGGTTTTAGAAACATTATAAAGCACGTGGGGAGTATCTTCAGTTCATCTTCAAGTGTCCTTTAAACATAACCCTTTTCTTGTTTGAGAGATGCAACCCAGGTAACCATGCCCTTGGGGTTATGGGAACGGACCTAGACATGGCCTACTGCAGAGGCAAGCTCATTCTTGACTTCCTACCTTTGATCAATACTCACCGGACATGTGTGCCGTAGACTAAGGGCTCCACTTTCTTTTGTACTAATCTAATAAAACAAACCAAATAAGAATGATGACTGGGATCTACGGGTTCCTCCAGGTGTCATCTTAAATGTCTTCCATGAGGCTGTGCCTCAATTCTAAAAACAAAATGATGGTGGGAAATTTAAGCACCTGGATGATTGCTTAGAGTAAAGGAAGAACTGCATGCCCCTAAAACTCCCCTGGAGGCCAGACATCCATCCATCAATTCCACTTGTATAAAGTTGAACTGACATCTCATTTTAAAAATAGAAACTAACATAAAAACCTAATGGAAAACCAGAATAGATAGCCTTTTCCTAAGCATAATCTTTCTCTAATTTAGAAATACAGCTAAAGATTCCAGTATAACTAATATAGAATCGAAGCAAAAATAAAAGTAATAAATTTTCCTTTTTTATCATTATATAATAAAATGTGCCTTAATATAGTCTTTTGGTTTCTTAATTGTATTAGCATATAAAATGCTAATTAAATTTAATAAATTAATCTTAAAATAAAGGCTATATTTCATATTGAAGTTTATGGTTTAATAATTACCTTTGGGAATAGTATTAGAAACAGAACAAATTTGTTTCTTGTCACTCAAGTATAACCACAAGGGGACATTTGATCTCTAAAGTTCTCCAACTTGCTGGCTAAACTGCAATCTTCATTAAATCCAATTATCAGTCTACTCCCATGCCCTCACCTACACAACTGGATGTGGCTGGAGAAAACTACAAGCCTATGCTGACTGTTCTTACTTTAATGATGAATAACCTTATGGGGTGTGTCAGAGCTGCCCCAAACCACATTGCATTTTCTTGGTTCATTGAATCTCTCACTCTTAGGAGGACTGTCTGATCCCTCCTCCATTCTCCTCAAATATCTGGCACTTCCTGCCATCTTCCCGGTTAGCTGATAACCTTGCTCCTGCTTCATGGAGATGACAGAAGCAATCAGATCAGACCTCACAAGTTGTCATCACATTATATACTGTTCTATCTGCCCATGAGCCCATATAATCTATCTTCTCTCCTGGTGCTACAATGAGCTGCCAGGTATCTATCGAGGGTGAACTCTTCCATTCTCACTTACTACAGGATATTGCTCCAGCAATTCATCCCTTTCTTCTGTATCATCAGTGGTTCCTTTGTTCTTTTTGAACTATTTCTATCATGATATTTTCAGACTCTTAATACCTCTCATCATCATAAAACAAAGCTGTCTATTAATACTACTTTCACTTCCCAGAAAATACCCCATTTTTTCCTTCCTTCTCACAGCAAATCTTCTAGAAAGAGATATCTATATACCTACTGTCCATTTTTAAATTTCTATCCTTAACCTACTCCATTCAGGTTTTTGTTCCTACTACTCTACTCAGAGTGAAGGTTATTAGTGACCTCAATTTTGATAAACAAAATAGTTAATTCTTGCCTAATTCAGTCAGCAGCACTAAATTATTTTCTTTTTATATAATTTTAATTTTAGATTCATAGGGCTACATGTGCAGGTTTGTTACCTGGGTATACTGCGTGATGCTGAGGTTTGGGTTACAATTGATTCCATCAACCAGGTACTGAGCATAGTACTCATTAGTTAGTTTTTCAACTCTTTCCCTCTTCTAGTATTCCCTAGTTTCTATTGCTGCCATCTTTATATCCATAAGTAACCCATGTTTAGCTCCCACTTATATGTGAGAACATGCAATTTTTCTTTAACCTTTTAAATTTTTGTTTGTTTATTTTTAAGGAGTCTCACTCTGTCATCCAGACTGGAGTGCAGTGGTGCGATCTTGGCTCACTGCAACCCCTGCCTTCCAGGTTCAAGCAATTCTCTTGTCTCAGTCTCCCGAGTGGCTGGGACTACAGATTCATGCCACCACAGCTGGCTAATTTTTTGTATTTTTAGTAGAGATGGGGTTTCGCCACATTGGCCAGGCTGGTCTTGAACTCATGACCTCAAGTGATACGCCTGCCTCTGCCTCCCAAATTGCTGGGATTACAGGAGTGAGCCACTGCACCACACCTGGCCAATTTCCTTTTTTTTTTAATGACTAATGGCTGCATAGTATTTCATGGTGTGTGTATGTATATGTGTGTGTGTGTATATATATATACACACGCACTACATTTTCTTTATCCAATCCACCTTTGATGGGCACCTAGGTTGATTCCATGTCTTTGTTTTTGTGAATAGTAATACAATTAACCTGTGAGTGCATGTGTCTTTCTTGTAGTACAACTTATTATCTTTTGGAAATATACCCAGTAATGAAATTGCTGGGTCAAATGGTAGTTCTGTCTTAAGTTTTTTGAAACATTTTCACACTGCTTTCCACAGTGGCTGAACTAATTTACATTCCCACCAACAGCATATAAGTGTTCATTTTTCTCCTCAGTCTCACCAGTATCTGTTATTTTTTGACTTTTTAATAGCAGCCATTCTGACTCATGTGAGATAGTGTATCATTGTGGTTTTGATCTATATTTCTCTGATAATTAGTGATGTCGAACATTTTTTCATATGTTTGTTGGCTGCCTGTATGTCCTCTTGTGAGAAGCGTCTGTTCGTGTTTTGCCCATTTTTTAGTGGAGTTATTTGTTCTTTGCTTTTTCAATTCTTTTTTTTTTTTTTTTTTTTTTGTGATGGAGTCTCACTCTGTCACCCAGGCTGGATTGCAGTGGCACGATCTCGTCTCACTGCAACCTCCGCCTCCTGGGTTCAAGCAATTCTCCTGCCTCAGCATCCAGAGTAGCTGGGATTACAGATGTGCACCACCATGCCTGGCTAATTTTTGTATTTTTTTAGTAGAGACGGGGTTTTGCCATGTTGGCCAAGCTGGTCTCCAACTCCTGACCTCAGGTGATCCACCCACCTCGGCCTCCCAAAGTGCTGGGATTACAGGCATGAGCCACCGCGCCCAGCCTTGCTTGTTCAATTATTTAATTTCCTCATAGATTCTGGATATTAGACCATAGTTGGATGTATGAATACTTTCTCCCATTCTATATGTTGTCTGTTTATTCTGTTGATAGTTTCTTTTGCTGTTCAGTAGCTCTTTAGTTAAATTAGGTCCTACTTGTCAACGTTTGCTTTTGTTGCAATTGCTTTTGAAAGCTTAGTCATAAATTATTTCTCAAGACAGATGTCCAGTACTGTGTTTTCTAGGTTTTCTTCCAGGATTCAAAGCTTCAGGCTACAAAACCAATATTTAAAAATCAGTAGCATTTCTATACACCAATAACGTTCAAGCTGAGAGCCCAATCAAGAATGCAACCCATTTACAATAGCCACAAAAAATTACTTAGGAATATATCTAAACAAGGAGTTGAAAGATCTCTACAAGGAGAATTACAAAATACTGCTGAAATAAATTACAGATGACACAAACAAATGGAAAAACATTACATGCTCACAGATTGGAAGAATCAGTATCATTAAAATGGTCATACTGCCCAAAACAATCTATAGAAGCAACACTATTCCTATCAAACTACCAATGTCATTTTTCACAGAACTAGAAAAACTTCTATACTTTATATAAAACCAAAAAAAAAAAAAAAAGAGCCCAAATAACCAAAGCAATCCTAAGCAAAAAGAACAAAGCTGGAAGCATCACATTACCAGACTTCAAACTATACTGTAAGGCTATAGTGACCAAAACAGCATGGTACTGAAACAACAGCAGGCACATAGACTAATGGAACAGAATAGAGAACCCATAAATAAAGCTGCAAACTTACAATAGTCTGATCTTCAACAAAGTCAACAAAAACAGGCAAGGGGGAAAGGACTCTCTATTCAATAAGTGGTGCTGGGATAGCAAGTTAGATATGTGCACAGAAGAATAAAACTGGACCAGTATCTTTCACCATATACAAAATTAACTCAAAATGGATTAAAAGATTTAAATATTTTCCTTTTTGAAACACCTTCTACAGTTGACTTGCAGGACATCAAATTTACCTGGTTTTCTTCCACCCCATAGTTTCTTCAGTCAGATTTCCCAGTTCCTCCTAGTCTTCTTAAATTCTATTGCAGTGTTTGGGCTCAGCATTTAGGGTTTTTCTCTATTACACTCACTTTTTTGATGATCTCTTTAAGTCTCATAGCTTTAAGTATTTATAAGTCTGGACCTCTCCCAAGAACTCTAGGCTCATACATCCAACATCCTACTAAACTTCTCAACTGGGTGCCAAATAGGCATTATAATTTAATATATCCTAAAATTAAACATCTATATTTTGCTCCACCCAAACTTTCCTTTTTCACATTCTTCTCCATTTTCAGTAAATGTCCATTACACCTTTTCAGTTGTTCAGATTAAAAACACAACAACAAAAACAAAAAAAAACCTGCAGTCATTCTTGACTTCTCTGTTTCTACATCCTTCTCTTCATACTCCATATTTAACCTATTGGCCAATTATATCTGCTCTTCCTTCAGATTAAGAGAAACTGGGCTGAGTGTGGTAGCTCATGCCTGTAATCCTAGCACTTTGCGGGGCTGAAGAGGGTGGATGGCTTGAGTCCAGCATTTCGAGTTCAGCCTGGGCAACATGGTGAAATCCTGTCTCTACAGAAAAAAAAAAAAAAAAAAAAAAGCCAGGTGTGATGGTACGTGCCTGTATTTACCTGTAGTGCGAGCTACTTGAGAGGCTGAGGTAGCAGGATCGCCTGAGCCTGGGAGGTTGAGGCTACAGTGAGCCATGATAGTCCACCTCACTCCAGTCTAGGCCAGCCCCTGTTTTGAGAGAGAGAGAGAGAGAAAGAGAGAGAGAGAAAAACGGAATAGTTACCGTCATGTCTATAGCTGCCACAGATTCAGATATCTTCCACTAGTCCTCCACCCTTCCTCGTGGTGATCTCCAAATCCAATCCCTTCCTGACTATCTTTCAGTTAGGTTCAACCATGAGAAGCTCTCCCATTAAGGGAATGGAGAGAGTTAAATCAGAGGAGTTATATTCCTTGCTCCCATCACATAGTCCCCACAGTCCCCTTTATACTGGCATGTCTCTGTTGAAACTTCCTAGTCCTCTCAAGTCAGCCTGCTTAATGCAACTTCCTTCTTCTGGATTCTAGGAAATATGACTCACTGTCCCTCTGGCCTAGAGGTGATTAGAAATCCCTTATAGTTCCTCTGTACTTGATCTACATCTTTGTAAATAGTCATTTTGTACATAAAGCTTGTTTAAATTATGCTGATTTGAATATGATACTTGCTTCCTGATTGAGAACACGAATGAGAGAAATTGCTACTGAAAGTAACCTCAAGAACCTGACTCTCCAAGTGAAATGCTATGATTGGGTTGCACATATATCAAACAGAGAAATGGGACAAGAGATATCTCAAGCACACAGTGGCAACATGATTACTCCGCTCAGCACAGGATACAGGGCAAGTACAAGCAAGGCACTGGGACATCAAGTGACTGTGCTACTATGTAATCATGGCAACATTAGCGATTGTAAGGACTGTGAAGTCACCTTTCTTATTATTATGACCCTAGAAAATAAACACAAGGAAAATAAAAATTTTAAATTGTGTACATAAAATTAAGGAAACATGGAGAATCAGAAGATCTTTACAGCAGATTTGAAAGAGTCCCTCATCTTCTGTAGTCACAAAACAGATATGGTTTAGGATTTAAAGTTTTTTTGCAGTGCTTTTCAAATATTCAGCCCAACCAGGCATCCTATGCTAAAGTAAGAGCAATATTGGAAGATAATTGAAACCCTGAGATAGGATATGGGGATATTCGAGTAGATATAGATAAGGCTAAGACTCTTGAAATTCTAAATTCCACTGGATTTTCTTTCCAATAAAGGCAAAATAATAGGCCAAAATATTTACCATATTTCTGAACAAATTATAGAAGTATGTCCCCATTAGCCTGGGCATGTTGGCTCACACCTGTAATCCCAGCATTTTGTGAGGACAAGGCAGGCAGATCACTTATGACCAGGAATTCGAGACAAGCCTGGCCAACACAGTGGGTGTCTCTACTAAAAATCCAAAAAAAAAAAAAAAGTAGCTGGGCATGGTGGCACGCACCTGTAATCCCAGTTACTTTGGAGGCTGAGACATGAGAATTGCTTGAACCTGGGGAAAGGAGGTTGCAATGAGCCAAGATCCTGCCACTGCACTCTAGCCTGGGTGACAAAGGGAAACTGTCCCAGGAAATAGTAAGTATGCCCCCACTAAAGCTTTGAGAAATACAAGAATAATCATTTATGGTACATACTTTTTAATTTACTCCTTTTTGTCATGTGAAAACAATAATAACAAAAGTTGACTCATGCAGAATGACAGTAGATTACCAGAAACTTAAATCTAAGGTATACAGTTAAAGAATAGTCAGTCTCCACTACATAAAGTCAACACAAACTCTATCACCTGGTGTGCAGCTATTGACCTGATAAATATTTCCTTCCCTTTACAATTAAGAAAGAAAACCTTTTTCTCAGGGACAAGTCAACCCTACTGTTGTCTATCATAATAGGGAACATAATCAACTTGAAATTCCATAGAACATAATGTTAGTCTAATTCATTGATGACAATGGACTTGGTAAGTATGAAATATAATGTTCCTTAGATACCTTAGTAAGCTATATGCATTCCAGATTGTGAGAGAGAGACTGTGCAGAAGTTCAACAGCCAGCCACACTGGGGCTTATGGGGACCCAGCAGTGTGGGTTATGCCAGGCTACTCCTTCTAAAATGAGAGTCCCACTGGAAAGTTGGGTCTTCAATCTGAAGGCTCCTGTGCATAAACATTAAATAAATTTGCATGTTTTTTCTCCTGTTAAAAAATAAAGAACAAAGTGAGTTTGATTTATGCAACTTACACCACTCATCTCAAAGAGACTCAAATTTAGGAGATCTCTTCGGGTTTTGGAAACAATACATAACACATTTGGGTGTGTTGCTCCGTACCATATATTTGATAACCCTAAGACTGCCAGTTTTGAATGGGACTCAGAGTACAAAACATATTCTATAGTAGTAGAGGTTTTGGTATAAGCTTCTGTGTCTATGACACAGAAGAATCAATAATGATTGATTTCTCTGTGGTAGGCAGGACTGCTGAATGGCTTGTCTGGCATACCCCAAGTAGAAAATCATCTACAGATGTCTAGGATTTGGCAGGATATACTCTCCTTTGCTGATAATTATTTTCTATTTGGAATGCTGCATTTAGATTGCTAGTAGGTCCATATACAAATTGGTTATGGAGGCTGTGAATCAACAGCATAGTTTTTCTCTCATCAAGGCTGACCTGGCTACTACTATTGCTGTATGCAGCCAACAACAGAAGCAAATGCTGATAATCCCAGATTGTACAATTTCCTGCCAACCCCGGTCAGCCATCTGGTGGCAGTTGACTACATTGAGGAAAGAGATAACAGCCTCAAAATATACTATACTCATATAGACATATATTCAGGATACTGGTTTTACTTTCCTGCCCACAGTGCTTTCCCCTGTGTATATTTTTGTCGACTTTTCTGTAGCAGTATTCAAAATAGCAAAGTCATGGAATCTAAGTGTCTACCAACAGAGGAGTGGATAAAGAAAATGTGATATATATATATTTGTGTGGAATATTACTCAGTCATAAAAATGAATGAAATCATGTCTTTTGCAGCAACATAGATGGAGCTGGAGGCCATTATCGTAAGTGAAATGAATCAGAAGCAGAAAGTCAAATACCTCATACTCTCGCTTATAAGTGGAAGCTAAACAATGGGTACACATGGACTTAGAAAAGGGAATAATGGATACTGGAGACTAAAAAATGTGAGAGGTAGGAGTTGAAAAATTACCTGTAGGGTACAATGTTCACTATTTGAGTGATGAGTACACTAAAAACCCAGACTTCCCTGCGATGCTATATATCCATGTAAAAAAAACACTGCACTTGTATCCCCTACATCTTTAAAAATAAATAAATCACATATAACATAACACAACACAATATCAATGTGATCACAACACTTGCTTATTAAAACTCTTCCAAAAGCTAAAGGCTTCCTAATATACTCAGATTAAAGACCAAAGTCCTTTCTGATCATGTAGGCCCATAAGGCCCTATGTGATCCCCCTCCCTGCCTCCTACTCTTCTCACCTTCTTTCACTCTGCCCAGATTGTGGGAGTTCTTGCATATGCCAGCTGCTTTCACATGAAAATCTTGTCCCAGAAATCTGCATGGCCTCTCCCTCACTTCTTCATGCCCTGACTCAAATACCTGGTTCACTCTTCTCTCTGTGACCTTTCTTGACCACAGTATCTAAAATTGCAATACTTCTCTAATGTGATCTATCCTCTCTTCACATTTTCTCCTAATCTATTCTTTTATGGCATTTATTTATTCTATTTATCTGTTTTCCTCTTTCCTTCTAGGATGTAAACATGGAACATGCAAAGATTTTGTACAGAACATTTTTGTGCTCAACATCTAGAAGTGTGCCTGTCACATATTAGGCACTCAACCAGTATTGGTTGAATTCATTCATTCATTCATTCCCAGTTCACTCAGAGTAAAAGCCAACTTTTTTTGCTCAACTATTGATTGAACACCTAATCAATCTAAATTAGTTTGTGAAGCACCCAAGTTGTGAGCCATGGAAGAAACACACAGGCACTTACCTCTTTTTTAAAGAAAATTAGCCTTACTCAATTTGATAACCTACATTAGGGACCAGACTTCACATTGAATCATCTATCTATTTTTCAAAGGTCAAATCTGCCTCCCAGAAGATGATTTGTGTCAAGTTTAGGCTGAGACAAATAATCACGTTTAGGCTGAGATAAATAATCACACCTGAGACAAAATATGATTTCATAAAAGGAAGCCAAGATTGTTTTAAGCAATGGCGACATCCTCTACTTTTATGTAAAGTCCCTATACCATCAACTTTGAATGATAACACAAGTTTATAAGTGAAATGAAAAAATAAGACTCATTATTCTACTATAAAGTGTTTTAAATACCAAAATCTTATAAGATAATTTGAAGTATATGTCTTTAATCTATTCTTGAATTAAACTTGAAGTATTTGGAGAGAGATGAAGACTTGTACTGTCATGAAGACTTCCCTTGTTCTATTAAAGAAAAACTGCAAAAAATTCTCACAAAAATAAATTGATTTTCAGAAATGTGTAGATAGCAAATATCCAAAACTGAAAGGTTTAATTTAAAAACACCATTTTATAGTCTATTCCTGTTATTAAAAGGCTTATCATTAGTAAAATATAATTCTGTAAAACTTGTGCTTACTAATAATGGCAGCAAAGGTTTATGACATCAAGGTTGTTGAATATTTCATGTTTGCATAAGACTAGCTGCAGAAAGAAAAATATGCTTTTGCAAGAACTAGATAGTTGGGTTACTGACCATGACTTTATGAAAACAACACATCTATAAAGTGAAGGTTGTAATTTTACCCACAACTTTCTCCCTCTTTGACTGAATTCACATCATTGGGAACTTTTTGTTAAAAAAGGAATAACTTATCTTTATACTCAGAAGAAAACCACGAAGTAAATATATCAGTCCATCAAACACTTCCTGAAAGTGTAATACATTAGAAATAGAGCGCATTTTAAATACTGAACTCATGACATTTACTCTATTATGTGGGCCATATCCTTTTGCTGTTTAGTGTTTTCCTAGCATTATGAGAGAGTTATGTGTATTTTCAATGGCCTTTTTCAACTAAATGGTTTTATTTACAAGGTGACCTTTAGAATAGGGAAATGACCATACCACAGATTGAACTATTCACATGTCACAGATACTCAGTGAGCCTGGGAGAGTTGACAGTTCCAGAGGACTTTAAGAAAGGATTTCAGTCTAACAAATAGAAATATATTCTTTGCTAAAAACACATCACAGCACATATCAGGAATTTTGTCAGTGTAATATGGAAAGTGCTAATGTCTGAGATGTTATATTCAATTCGGTTATAATTCATAGCAAATTGTCAGTTTAAAAAGGTAGCAGTCATCCATGAAACGTTTGTTAAAAATGGATA